AGCAGAGTAGCCAGCCGCAGATGTGGCGCGAAACCCTCGCGGCGCGGACTCCCGCCATGCCGAATTTGGCCTGGTTAGGATTGGGGCATACTGTATGTATCAAAAACCTGCAACATTACATGGTTTGGAAGAAAGGAAAAATTCTTTGACAAGATTATGAGGATTTTTTAGTTTGATGTAATAAAACTCATGTGAGTGCCGGCCAGGTTCCCATAGGTACCTCCGCGACGTGTGCGCAGCGCATGCCTTTAGTGCGCTTTTCGTTTCAGCTCCACTGGATTTTTTTGCTTTTCTCTCTCAAAGTTTTGTTCCATTCTGTAAAAGCTCTTAGGTGCAAAGAACTCACGACAACTGCCGTTAGTGGGGTTTTACGAGACTTGAGAGACTTAGGCGCTTTTAATCACTCTCTTTTTATTCTCGATAGTGAAGATTTGGATTTAGTATATGAGGATGTCTCTTCAATGGCTGCTATTACAGAGTAAGCCTCTATGACCGATTGATTTTTATTAAGGATGTTTCTAGGCCCTTTTAATGCGCCGTTAAGGCTTTGCTTCTAACATTCTGCTCTCGATCTCAAACTTTTTAGTTTTTGTGGCCGCAGAAAAAAAACGTTTTAAAAGTGTTCCTCGACTGCTTTTGGTGTCTCTATCACCCATCATGGTAGTGTCATACTAGCATCAATGAGACTGACTAGAGTCTAATCGCTGGAGGAAATTTTAAACGTTCTCTTAATGCTTGGCTTTTCTCAAGTTTCGTAGAGGAATTTTCCACTTTTTATTTCACTCCTTTCTTAAGCAGAAATGCTTTCGTGTTCGTAAGTGAGATGAGAAGCGTCCGAGTCAGGCCCGCGTTGCTATGCGATGCGCCGCGGTGGTACCTACGGGAAGCTGGCCGGCGTCCATACTATAACAACCTAATACTTTACGCTATATGCCGCACATATTGCAAATTTGTCAAAAAAATTCAAAAAATTGAAAAAGAAATGGAGACACGTTCAGTACAAAGCTCCTCGGGCATGCTTTCTTTGCAAAATTGATTGAACAAAATAGCAAAAATGGATAATAATTCTGAATTTTTGAAATTGCCAAGGCTTATGTTTCAACCTAGTAGATTGAACATTCTTCACGATTGAACGACCAAAATGATATCCATAAAATCAGCACAAAAAAGCGTAAAACTTGTGAGACAACATTCACAACAGAATGAATGGGGTAATGAGCCTGAGTCTCAAGAATGATCGGAAACGTCGCAGGCATCGTTCCGATAGAAAAGGAGAACGGCCCACAGATCGATGGATCCCCTGTGCGATGGCATGCTGGAGAGAAGGATTAGTGCAGAAATAGTGAAGGTTTGGCGTTATTTGCCCAAATAGAGATAATCGGACATACATTAGATAGTGCAGTATCGGGGTGTCCTAAAAGTTTTGCCCTTAGCCTGTAAAATTACCTTTTTTCATTATCATCCTGAAAAATTTTCAAAAAAGCAAAAATCACAAACACTTTCTTGACATTTAACCTTCAAAATTACCTAATTACCCATCTCAACTCAAATGGCCGTTGCATTGTGACACATCCCTTGTGAGAGATTGAAGAGAATGAGGACAGAACAGACGAGTCCTACAACGACACTCGCATACTGTAGACGTAGACCAAAAACACAGTGATGGTGCGCGCACCGCCAATTTCGCGCTGGTCCGGATCAGAAAGTCTTCACGTTGACAAGCCATTTGTACATTTTGGTCGACACTTTGAACTCCGACTATGCTAAGTGATATATCTTCTACAATGTGATACGAAGTGTATCGAATCTCAAATTCCGTAGTTCGGGTCAGCGATTAAGGAGTAGAATATGTATGTCTTATTTGATGATCAACTGCAAAAGGTTTACAACACGGCTGCATTCCCTAATGCTTATTTTCGTTTTAATGGATTTTTGAATTATTGAAAGCTTTCTTGTGATTCTGAGTGATCGACGCTTTCTGCGCTTATTTTATTCTTTTTTCTTAAAGCTAAAGAAAAACATAGTGATGATTCAATATTAAAAGGGTGCAAATCACTTGTAAGGGGCCCTTGTTTATCCTGCTAAGCATTGCGTTGGAAGTGAAAACCGCAATATGTATTTCGGCTTTCCAGTAACTGTAGTGCATTGAGGCAGTAGCAATCTTTGCTTTTTTCCGTATTATAGCAACACTTTCAAAGTTTGATTACAACACAAATCAAAAATAAACTGCGAAACACTGTTTCGAGGTATATTGTCTGTCTTCACACCTTTGCGTCAATGATGATGCAGTTCTTTTTGCGAAAAATCATTTTGTAAGATCAAAGATTGTAGCGAATTTGCATAACTGAATAAATCTAAAAATTCAGCAAAACTTTTCTGCCTAATTAATTTGTGCAATATTGTGCAATATTATGCTTTAGCGATGGAAGCACCATATTCACCATGCATGTAGGCCATCCGAAACAAACATTTGTGCACTGAGGCCAGGTACCCAGTGCGATCGCTTTTACTGCTACACGGAACACTGAAAGTACTTAGAATCTTCATCAACAACATCCTATTCAACTTAGAATACAACAAACAAAATACTGATTGACTGGATGTGTAAATAGGATGTGGTAAGAACAACTTGGATATAACATTTTATTACTGGTCATGACTAGATTGTGTGGATTCCAATCTTTCTATTTCTGCTGCCAACTATTTTGCATCAGGTTTAGAGACATCGCTCTCTTTTGATACGGGAATGCCGTCCAGCGTACCTAAATTGTAGGAGTTAAGAGATCTTAGGTGGTGCACAAATAATTACCCATGATTTTCTTGAACTCTATATTGTCTTTGACAAAGGTATATGCAGAACAAAAAAATAAAATAGCGCTCAGTAACAACAAAACATTGGGAAGATGAAATGACGCCACCAACGACTTGAAATTGGCGCCTGGTGAAGTATCACCTTCTCGTACCGCATCAGAAATCTTAAAACCAGCTTCTGCTTGAGGTAAAAGTTTGCTTATCAGATTTTATGCTGAAAAATCTTCTAGGCTCCATTTTAAATCGACAGATTTATCGCTTGCTTTACTCTTGGAAAAAACAGCGTCTTCCTGCGAGTTTGAGCTTAGTAGTTAATTTTGGTTAAATTTAAAAAAAATATGTTCAGAAAATTGTAGATGTAGTAAGCCTGCAATCGGTAAAAGCATTGATACAGTGCTATACTTCACCTACCGCGCCAATGATGTACGGTCCAAAGGCGTCTCCAAATGCGTGAGAGATCATCATTTGCCATGCGATGGCAGCATTTCGACGTGGCGGTATAATAATGTCCTGTAAGATTGTTCCAGTTTGTGAGCAAGCAATCTGGCTAATCAACCTTCATATCCTTTTTTTAAGAATATAACCAGAGCAAAATTCGTTTACGTGCTTAGTTGGCTTAGTTAGCTGGTTGTCTTTTGTTAGGGCACAATGCAGTTAGAATCTTACCATCATCAGATCCACTATTATAGCCCAATTAAAACATGCGGCAGTGATTGTGATAAACATACAAATCTGCAACATTGGTTGTTGACAAACAAGATCTCGAAGTAAGGTAATTTCCTGTCAGTTGAACCAGTAGAATGGTTTGAAAAGGGCTATGCTGTATTGTCTTCTATCTCAAATAAACTCTTGTTCTATTGCAAGATGGCTAGAGAATACCAACCGGAATAACGTAAAGTGATGTGACAGTAGTGATTAAGTGCACAAGTTGCATTGTTCGAGTGAAGTGTTCAAACAGATGAAAACATAAGACGCTAGTCAAATGCTAATGCAAGCAGACTATTATGGCGCGAAGCGCATAGAAAGAAAGCTTTTGCAAATCTCAGTCGTCAAAAAAGAATGCAAAAAATATTCACATTACGTATGTTTTTTGCTCGTAAAATCTGGGCATTTTTATGAAATTGCTTTGCAGCTTTTTTGTGCCTCAAGGGTTTGGAATGTAAACAGTTCAAGAGCTTACGCTTTGCAAGTATTTCTTCCCCAAAGAAGTTTAACCGTGTAAAGTGTAAAATTAGATAACTGACTTACTATAAGGCCTCTGAGGAGAGCAATGTTGCAGATACGTAAGGCCAGGTAAATTTCTTACGTCAAACCTATGAGACACAGAAAACTTCAAGACTTGGAACATATGCTTCACGACTCTACCCCCTCGTCAGGATGTCATTTTGGAACACGAATTGACAGAAAAGGATATTGCGTCGCATTAGTATTAAGTCTCATTCGATTTCACGTCAGTGATATTGTACGATGTCATATTTCAAGTGAGATGTCATATGGGCGCTTGGGCGCTGTAACTAAGCCATCTGTTTTTTACTGCATTTTGTTCGCAACAAGTTCGAGCATGTCGACTGTGTAGCAACCTATTCCGGAACAATCAGGTAGTCTGTAAAGACAATTGCGTGCAGAAAGTGTTATATATCATACTCTTTGCTCTTTGCCCCAAATGCGTTGCTCTGTCTTGATTTGAGACTTCTTGCCGGGCCCTGGACTAACTTTTTTATACTGATAACATAAACTCTTCCGTTCTCAATTTCTCAGTGTGAAACATACCCATGCCGTCACAATGTTGACAGGGATAAAAATAAGAGAGAGGTGCAGAAATGGTGCAGCAAGAAAAGCTCCTACTCCGCATATGATCGGATCCGATCTTACAGTCTTTACCCACTTAAACGGGCCTACACCATTGCGAAGAAGCTGAATGGAATAAAATGTAAGCTCTAGAACAAATGTTGCAAGCCAAATACCATGGATAGAATCGAGCCTAGGGCGACACCGACAATGCCACTCACACATGTGATAGCGCCAAAAATTAAACTGATTCTGAACAGATAAACGATGGAGACGATTATTTGGGGTGGTAAACAAACAGGGAGGTAGTCAAGTTATTCGAAGTTTAGAGTATAGGCGTACGTAAAGGAAAGGGATTACGATAATGGGTGAGCTTTAGTTGAGGCCATATTACAGAATACTTATCTATCTTTTTGACTGGTCGGCAATAAGTGTGTGTGATTTAAACCCATTTGGTGCGCCTCATTGTGAACTATTGTCGTTGGAGTCCACCATGACAAGGTACCAACTGTGAATAGAATCGCGGTGTATGCTGCGGTTACGAGGATATAGGTTAAACTGAAACTTGTCTATTGCATCACTTTGAACTTTACTGAGAACGTACTTTGTGGAGAGAGATCTAAGATCTTCAAAGAAAGTGGTAGCTGCAAACATTTTTGAAGTTTCGCCTTGCCTTTTTTCTGCAGCGCCTCTTTCAGGCTCTTTCAAAAAAATGACCATGAATGCAGTGCAAGCTATACCTAAAGAATGGAACTTTTCACTTTGATAAGATTAAGCCATAGTTTTAACTTTGGTTTTTCTTTGGAGACTTACCGAGTACAAACGTGATTCCTACTCCCCAACGCCAATGTCCGGCGAAAGCTGCTACACTACCACCGATCATAAAACCGAGACCACTGCAAGTTGTTTTCTTTTTTTCGGTCAAATTCACTTCTCGTTAATCACCTTCCACATGGAATTGCAAAATAAAACAGCATAAGCATGCGACTTCTGCTACCACCAGCATAGAGATCGCCAATAACAGAAGGTGCCAAAGCCGTGTAGCATGTTTGTCCAAAAGCTATCACACCGCGACTACACGCAAATAACCAGAACATCTGAAAATTCCTCCGCTCTTGGTTCCAGCGCAAAGCAAGCAGGTCGATGCATGTAATTTTGAATATTGCCCTGGGGTCAAGTTTTGAAATGAATATTTTAGTCGCAAATTCCAAACAGTTGCACTACCTCTTGAGCACGCTTAGGGCCGCATGCACTAACATTCCTGCTGTAGGGAGTGAGACGCAGTTGAAAAAGCTTTATAGTCTAAAGCTCTGGGAATCCAGATCTCTCATTGTCCACCCCTCGCAAGTTTTTACTACCTTTTAATATAGTCATGCTGACCAGGAGCGAATTGTACGAGACGCATCTTCCATCTTTTTGTATGATCCCCTGATGATTTCCGCGGCGGCAGGCCGTCTTTACTTCAAAGTCATATTTCTTCCTTCATAACTAATGAAAAGATTTCAAAATTGTGCTGTTCATCTAGTCCAACAGCAAAGCATGTTTCCGATAAGAAGAAATGAGATCAAACAATGAAATTTTTGATAAGCCCCCATTTTCTGCTCGTGGTTTGTCGAGATTTTTCATGGCTTCGACACATCATTTCTTCATGTAACATGCTCAGCACTGTTGGAATAGATGATCAGTACAACTTTGGAATGTTTTTCTCAATTTCGAAGAAAGAAAAATGACTTTAAAGACTTTTCCCACTTTTCCTCGTCCCGTCAAAATTCTGCCGTAGAGCCTAGCTTTTGATTACTGGAAACAGGAAGGTGCAGACGAGATCTCCTTTGTTGAAAGCATGCCTTATGGTTCCTTACTCAAAAAAATTCCGCAGCCGATATAGCCTTCACGACGTAGCAAGGCTCTATACACAGTTTATGACATTAACGCACTTTTCCGTCAGGATCGCGCTTGAACACTGCTGTTATGGAGTCGATAACCAGAGTTTTGGATCGCATGCGCATGGACACATTAGAATGAAAGATGTAAATTAATATTGCACATATGTCACGAGCAAATTATAGGCAGATGCATAGCAGACTAAAGGTTGTATGTATAGGGGCCTGCATGAACGCGAGAGTCGGATATGCGTAAGGCCATTGCGCCGCGCACGTCCGATGTCACTGAGGCAGGTGCCAGACTTATCCTGTCTGACCGGTTCGTCGCTTAACTCATTCGCTATCGGTCAAATCGATGCGCTGACCATCAGCAGAAGTGGAGGACCGAATTAACCGGTTGAACAAGGACGTCTGGCACTTACCTGAGCCGTGGGAAGGACATCGGACGTGCGCGGCACAATGGCCGTTCGCACGTCCAACTCTCGCGATTACGCAGACTGACTCCTATATCAGTATCTACTTCGATAAAATTTGAAACTCAATTTGATTGTGACAGAACATGCCTGAGAGAAAGATTTGAATTTCAACATGAGAAGAAGTGAATTTTCCAGTTCTTCAAATTCTCCCCCGTCCCCCTCTTGAAGGCAGCGTCCAGGCAGATCTGGACTTATGGAGATTTTACGTGGAAAGTACTTTTGGAGCCCTAACTAAGGCACTGCCCAAGCGGCAGCGCAGGTAGTGCACTAACAACTGAGATATTTCCCTCGAAACTGGACCATCGTATCGTATGGATTCATGGTAGTTTCGCGCCAGGATCAATGCTTTGCGCCATAAATCCATGCGAAATACGATCGCGGGGTCCAGTTTCAGGGGAATATCTCAGCCGTTAGAGCAATACCTGAGTTGCCGGTTGGGCAGTGGCTTAGTTAGGGCCCCAAAATTACTATCTACGTGAGTACCCCATGTGTCCACACTTGCCTGGACGCTGCCTTTAATAAGTATCATCCCTTTCAAACAAATAGACTGTCATGTTGGACGAAAAGACGTAAAAAAAGACCGTTATATGAAGGTGATTACCCAAATTGCACTTCAGAAGAAACGAAACATCAACGATAGCTACCTGTAAAATGGCCGCAATCACTTTCCGCGGCTCGGGAGTGGCCACTTCGCAAAATTGGCCTAGTCGGCAGTGTTCCCTATTCGATCCATGAGAGTTAGGGGTTTGGTAAATTCCCATAGACTTACTGTTTCCGAAGGTTTCATGCTGAAGCCTGCAGATTTATCAATGTGGTACACGGGTTCTTCTCGTGCAAGAAATGCCTTTGCCGTAATTTCTGCTTATGAGGGCGACACAAAAATAATTCCAGTTTTGAGACCGGGCTTGATGCTGTTATGCCTTTCAAATAATTTGCATTACTTGTCGCAGTCAGTTTGAATGCATGATGTGTCAATGATGCGCTATTTGAATACACCGCTATTGGCAGGTAATTTCCATATTAGCGTATCAAATGCGCAAGGAGAGAACCTGCCGAAAAACTAAGAAAGACTGACACCTTCATGGAATATTGGCAAAGATTAGTCCATTATGACGCCGAAATTAGTTCGCTACACCTGATCAAATTGAGTCTTGTTTCTATTGCAATAGTTCATGGATGAATCAAAATTTGCAAAGGAATTTGGAATAGGCTAGACATACATACAGACTGTAAAACAATTCCTGTAGCAGAGTTTGTTACTCTTAGATGAAATCTTTTGTCGACGCGGCATCTCAAACGCATTGTGCACCTGCAATCTGAATTGACGTAAGATTTCTGCTGTCTTAGGTGACGTTAAAACCAAGTTATTCTATTTTCCAAGAACCTGATATCAACCAACACAAACATTTTGGTTGCTGTGTTGCATCAAATCCGGCATTGACGAACTATTCACTGTAGATGCAATGCCTTTATTCTACAAAAATTTTTATTGCTGTGTTGCATCAAATCCAGCATTGATCTAACGCAAGTAAGAGCTACACCGTTGACTTCGCAAAGTTTTTAAGCTCAAAAATAGAATAAAGGCATTGCATCTACAGTGAATAGTTCGTACATCATCTACGAAACCCTACAAATTTTATCATGTAGGCATTGTTGGGGAGGCACCTAAGGATTTACATTAAGCTCTCAAGCTATTAGCCTAAATATTAGTATCTTCCCACACTACAATTGTTGGCTACATATTTTCTTTTCTCAAAGAAGCTGCGATAAAAGCCCTGACTTGGTAAACGTGTGGCCCCTGTAAAGACCAGCACGCATTCAGTGACTATGAAGTGGAGTGATTTCGGCGCATGTTAGCAGAAGGTACTGAAGACGCCGAAATCCTTTACCCTTTACCCCATTTGAACGGTTTTTTCGAAGTCTTAAGGCAGGAAGAGCTTAGCTAAAAACATGCTCACACAACTGTTGAAAAACAACTAACAGTGCTCGGAACAAAGGTAGAAAGGAGAACTGTGCATGTCCAAAGAACCAAACAGCCTGTCATTAAATACTTTCTGTTATATCTGAAGTATTCTGTCAGAACATGCGAAGATTTCGTCAATCCGCAAACCTACCTGTCTCCCAAAAACCCCCAAACCGGCGAGATTATCATAGCACATACTATATAAACAGTTTGCAGTAAGCCACCCAGGGCATCATTAATACCATAAAATGCTTGTACATCGGACAGAACTCCTCAATTTGGTAGGCTCGTAATGGAAAAACAACACTAGCTGGCAAACAGCGCACCTGCTAGTGTAAATTTATCGATGTAGTCCAACAAATTAACAGCAATTAAAATTGACATTTGCAAAATACTACCTGAATTCTGCAAAGAAAAAAATGCTGCTATATCCAGGCACTAGGAGCCACGGTCACCGGTCAATTTACGGCTGGATTCGCAGCGTCCGCGGGCCGTATGAAGATACTGGTAGTAATTGAAGAGGGCCTTTGATCAGCAGCTGATGAAGCCGGCCCACCCGGGACTTGGTTTACTACACTAAAATCCTCTAATTGAGCCTAGACCTTTGATAACTGATGCAGCGGTCGACCCGAGGTTTCCAAATACTGCAGCGGTCTAACCTCCGGCTGGTCCATGGACGTCGCAAAATCCAGCCGCAACGCCTAAGGCCCGCGGTTCATCCGCACTAAATGTCAGAGTAGTTTTTGTTTTTTCTCTTAAACTGAGAACTAAGCCTTGCCTTGTATTACTTCTCATGACCACAAAAAAAAATCAAAAAAGATATGCCCAACCTTTTCTTTTTCCTGCCTTTCTTTTTCACTTATTTTTCCCGTTTTATCAATACCATCTTCTTTTCTTACTCCTTCTTCGGAACTGTGTTTCACCTTTTCGTCAGAACTCAACTTTCCTTCTTCAGACTTCTGCAAAGAAATGCATATGCATAATTTCGCTGCTGAGGTACAGCAACTGATTCAGGTTTTGGAACTTCCTTCGAAGCCATCGCACTTTCCCCGGCTCTTCTCTCTTCTCCTGATTTCAATTCGCCGGACCCATCAACCAATTTGTCTATTGAAAGTGGTTTGTTCTCTTCTCCGGATCTAACATCTTTTGATTTCTCCTCTTGTATCATGGCTATAAGTAGCGCATGTCATTGAAATGTTAATGAAAACAAATGACGACAAACAAGGTTCTCCTGCTGCATACAAAAATAGACGCTTTGCAATTGTGCCAGCACTCCTACCTCCATGGATTACACAGACTGTTTCATGTCTAATTTTGATCGTCTTAGCCTTATTTGCAATTCCCCATCCACATAAGCGCAGCTCAGAGTCAAAAAAGGAGATGCAGGATGCCAGGGAAGGGTTACCGAGTTTTCGTTTCTATTTCTTTTTCATTAATCAATCTCATCTTAATTACAGTTCTGCCAAATTGGAATGACCACACACGCTACCGCTCGTTATTTCATAACTTAAACTCTTTAAAATAAAATGTGGAACAAAGAACTCTTTTCAGTTTTTTTCAAGAAGCTCAAAGAGCTATGAGCCAAGGTAAGAGGATTGCTCGCACGTGCTTTTGAAAAGCAATACACAGCTTATAAGGAACCATGTGCGCCTCTGCTTCGCTACTGGTTATACGTACATATCTATAGACTACTGCATGTCAAGGCGCATACTTTTGGTCACGAACACGGGTTTATTAGCGCAGAACGCAGAGTTTACAACGGTGGAGATACGCGCGCGACGCGTTCGCGCTCGTTTAACTGCTGCTTCTGCGCCTTCGTCGTGCAGTACCCTCCACTTTCCTCGTACCTGCGCTGCAAAAATCTGCTTACTTAATGAGTAAATTTGACTTCGCGAATGGATATAGTATAACTGCTCATAGCAGATGAATAAGATGTAACTTGTCTTGGTTCCCCAATTGACCCGGCTTGTAGATTTCATACAGACAGTAACTGGTATGTATAAATTTGAAAAATGTCACTCTCCCGAAAAGAGCCTAGAGAAATTAGCACCTCAAGCCGAAGTGTTCTTGGCGGCGCTTTTCCCAGTCTCTATATATATAAAACTCAAAGTGTGTTTGTCTGTTAATAAGTATGTTCCTTATACAAATCTTTCTGAGTGTACCAAATGAGCTGAAACTTTGCACACTTATGTTTTGGACCCCGGCGCAGAACATAGCCTACTTTTCACGGCGATTTACTGGATCCCTCTATTGATTTGTTGATTTGTTTACTTACATCTGGGAAAATGAGGCTCGACATGCTCAAACCAATCATTTTGCCGTGATCATGTAGTCAGGGGATGGTAAAGCTCATTTTAATGTCAATGTCGGAAAGATGCGGGCAATTCGTTTCAATGCCCTTTTGCGCAGAAGAAGCTCAAAAGCGTAAGTGTAAGTAACTTCTTCTTAGCTAAACTGGAGCCCGAGTGAAACCGGGACCGCCGGCTAGTAGAAACTAAGCTCAAGTACTCTAATTGTTGACTTCCGTGCCTTGTGCACTTCCTGATCTCACGGGGAAGTCAAAGGAAGGTGCGTGGCGTTAGCCACGCACACCGAAAAAAACTTTGTGGGGCTTCTCAGAATTTTTGCTGGTCCAAACCCCAAGAATCAAGAAAAAGGAGGCGTGGCTGATTCATTCTCGGGACAGGGGGCGCCCTAACCACCGCTGATATATATATATTATATATATATTGTGTGTATATATGATCTTCCGCTGATATATATATATTATATATATATTGTGTGTATATATCATGACTTATAATAACGGGCTAAGGATTTCTAGTGTGTGGCCGGTTGCACAAGCCGGTTCGATGAGCGAAACCTTTGGAAACTGCGCGCCAAAGGGTCCACATGGCAGCATCTGGCACACATGCAAAACACAAAACAGACACAACATCGCACAAGTGCAACGTCATAACGCTTGATTTAAAGCTAGAAGAAGGACCGAAAAGTGGGGAAACTTATGCCTTGGGGCGTGGTCCTCCTACCTATCTGAATTACTGCTAGTGCTGCAGAGTACGCATGCCGCCACCGTCAAAATCGTAGGGTACCGCAGGGACTCTGCTTCTCAATCTTGGCGGGGACCGTCGATTTTCAAATATTAGGCTTTGGAAAACGCATGTTTTGCCGTTTTCGCGCCTTCTGATGTGGATTACCAGATTTAACGTTGCGGATAACTCCCGGTAAGTGGATTTTCTAAAAATCGAGTTTTTGTTCGGACGCTGCCTTTGACGACAAGCTGTTTTTGGCGTCTGTCCCTGTGAACGAAGCGTTTCCGGCCATTTTCACAGCCGATTGCATGCATGTATGCTTGTTCTATGCGTGAGATACAAAAGTGCAGATGATCGGGGCAGGCAGCTTAGCCCACTTTTGGCAAGTCCGCCCACTTTCTAAAAATATCGAAATTTGCGCAAATTCACAAATTCGCGCAAATCCCGGCACCTTTCGAAAGTTGGCGGGGCTTGCCACTGAGGGGTGGAGCCTGCATAACGGGGGGCGGGGTTGAAATCAAGGTTATTTTGAGATTCCTCAGTCATCTACGAGCTTTTTTATGTGGTTCGAGAACGAAGAAAGAGAGGACAACAGAGTAGGCAGAGTTTGCCGAAAGGAGGCGGAACCAACATGAACTACTTCTAAGCCTAAATTGATTGTATGAAAACAAATTGGAACCATTGTGCACCTTAGAACTGATATTTAGGGTGTTGCGCACCACTGCGCGACATCGTTCACAGGGACAGACTGCCTGTCGCAAATATTGCGCGAAACTGTCGTCAACGTGTTGAGAATAATCAAAAATCGTATATTTCAGCAAAAGTGGCGCCAAAAAGATTGGTTGCGTAAATAATGAATTTGTCAAGTTTTTACCCAATAATGTGAGAAGATTTTTGCACAGTTATGTAGCATACCGTGCTCACTGTCCTCATAGCAACTACAAAGACAAATGAGTCAAATCTAAATTAATTTAGCATTATTCTTCTGCAAAAATCTTTTCCAAATGGAGATACCGATCTTCCATAAGAAACCTTTCGGAATGAGTAGATCGTTTACAATTCATGCGTGGGCCAGCGTTGTGCGGGTGAGTTTCAGAGCAATCACTACATGAGAATGAGTGAGACATATGCGAAGCAGAGGTGACATACTGGTAGCAAATAAGGGCTTCCAGCCTTGAAATATTTAAACCACACTATGCGCCATAACTTGTATTCTGTGAGAAGGACAACGGTCATAGGCGGTAATTAAATTGGCATGTTAACGGCAAGACAGCTACTATACGTTTGCTAGCTTGTTCATTCAAAAAGTGGTAGAGAGTACCGTATGATATTACATACATGGTTTAGCCTTGTTTGAAGTCACCTACCAATTCATAAGATAACTAAAATTGCAATACTATTAGATATTCGGTCACACACGCCGCTTTATTATTTTGCGTCTACGGCTTTGCAAAGTGTCCCCAAGGCGCTTGTTGATACGTATGCGTCAACTATATCTTGAGGTATATGGAGCAAGATTCGCCAACTTCAAGTAGTCATGAGCTACTCGCTCCAACAATATGTACCGAAGACTCACTAAATATTCAGCAGATCGAGTTGTCGATCAAGCACCACTTAACTGCGAAGATTCTACAAAAATGAGCTAACAAGTATTCACAAATGTTTAATCAGTTTGAATTCTATCACTGATATCTCAGTGATTTCTACCGGTGCTCCTTGAAAGACGGCATATCATCTAAATGATTCCTTATACATTTTCACATCCTAACTAGGTGGTGGTTGTTCCCCGTCACTGTCCAACAATTTTTCCCTCCGATTAGCAGCAGAAAGTACTGCAAAGTACTTTCTGCTGCTAATCGGAGCATGTTTAAAGTACTGACTTGTAAATTCTCTACACCGTTAAGGCGGCATGCCCGTCCAAAAGAGAACAGCAACTTTAAGATTGTATCCTAAATCTACGTCGTCAATTAACGCTTCCTTCTATCCTCCAATGTTTTGCTCTCTCTTACTCTCGAGCATATGGAACAAAACCGTACTTCCTGTAATTTTTTACTTTTATGATCTCTCAATGATCCAAAAATACCAAACGCCTTTCTCTGATCAACAATCTTACTTTGAGTGCATCTAACACCTCCAAGTTGTATTGATCTCTGACCCAAAGTACTTACATGTTTCTGAAAAGAGCAGGCGTCAAAATGATTCAAACTTTGATGAACTATCTTGATATTCATCGAAATATCGTTATTACAATATACTTGTTCTTATTAAAAACTTCACCACTATCAGACTAGATGAGCAGCACGATTTTGTGATGTTATCATTTTGAAAAGAAGAAAAAAGGCAAAAGACAAGGAAGAAAGATTGCCGCTGGTTAACGTTGGGATGTCAAACGAAAAGGTGAAAAGCACAGACTACGAAACAATACATGAAACCCCGCAAACCCACTTTAGGTCATTATGCCATCAACAGTGACGAGCATTACTTGGGCATCGATGGCAAATGATGGTTCTTACTTTTTTTCCTTACCAATTTCTCTTCATAAATTAATCTTGGATCCTCTTTATCCATTAAAGGCAGTGGCTCGGCAAATCTCAACCAAGCGAAATTTTCGCTTACCTGGGGTTATTCATGACGCTGATCCCGAAAATGCACTTTTGAGAGCTTCAAAATGGCGAAAACGAGCGTTTTCATTGCCCTTCTTTTGGAATTGGACGAGTGGAGCAAGGCTGATGACGCTGAATCGTTGCAGGATCCAATGGTTATAGCACTGCGGCGGGCAGCCTCCAATGGTGAGAAGGAATTTGCCAACTCGTCCGGACTCGTGTAAGATTAGTCTGCGCGTGTAAGTTTGAGAGCAATTCTCTCGGCAGGGAAGGTATGCTGTGCGATCGGGACCGCACTGCTTTCAAACTTGAGCGATAAGGAACCCACCGCGTTGAAATCCTGAGTTGTTGAGTTTTGCCGACCTACTGCATTTAAGGTGTTCTGGGAATAATTCCAAAATCAAGTTTTTCAGCTAAAAACGAGCCGAGATAGAACACAGTGTCCTAAAAAACCATCTAAATTTTTCCTTAACTGGGCTTATCCGCATTGAGAACTCGTAGAGTGCGAAAGACTTTTCGTGACCTTACACAGTCAAGTAGATTTCCTGTTTAATATAGTGTCCCTGCAGACTATACTTTTCAATATTCGAAATTTTTTTCGGATCATCGAATAATCGAATATATTCAAAAATGTCGAATAAACGAATTTCGAATATTATCCATGTTCGATTATCTATTGATCTTGGCATTAAAGTTATATTTCACTGACCTTTTTTTTCAGTTGTTAACCCAAGATTAGTAGAACTTTTTATGAAGACAAACGTTTCGGCGATTTCGCCTTCTTCGGGGTCTGAAAAAGTCGAGTGCTTATAGAACATTCCGTCAGCTACCGCATCACAACCGAGGAACAAGCCTGACCTGCCAGCGAACCAATCATTTACAAATCTAGTGATCCGGTCTCGGCCTGTTGTCATCGCAGAAGCCACATAGCGTCTGATACGAGGCCAGTTCTTGGGCGATGGCTCAGCACTCATCTATCCTATTCATTTTCGGATTTTCAGTCGCGATCCAAAACGCTTCTAAAGTTTTGCGTATGAGGATCTCGGGTTCGTAAGCTAAGATTGTAACTTCCATGTTTATTTCTGCATCATTGTGCATGCCAATGGCGTATTAGGATTCGATCTTCTAAGCCCGTTTAAGTGTTCTTTTATACGTGTGCATAATGGGCGCCCGTCACCTGTATATGATTCTCTGCATGATTGACAGGTAAAATGGTACACTACTCCAGAAATTAAACAGTCGCCCTGCTTTCCGAATGGGCAAATGACACAATTGGGAGTCGTGCATAGTCTATCATAGGCTCGATTGCGAACAGTGATGTTGATGTTTGAAATTGACAGGTGGTATGTCAACGGCTCGTACCCAGTCCTGTAATTCTGCTCGTTCTGTCAACTTTCTGACTGTCATACTTACTTCTGAACAAATGGTAAGCAGAATGGAATTTTTGTTTCGGTTTCTGCAGTTATTGCTGGTATTGTCATTACGCTTGCGTATTCTATGGTTGCGATTTTTGGTAGGGTACCCATTTGATCTTGCTACCGTTTCAGGTAATGCTAGCGAATAGAATTTTTCTGTGGTTCCGGGCGAGACGTTTGCAACTGTTTTTATAAATGTTGCCAATTACCGACTTTTTGATGTGGGCCGGATGAGCTGAAACTAGTGCACTAGTATTCCTGCTACTTGGTTTGCGATACCACCTTGTTTTGAATTCGCCGTCCATCAATCGAATCTCAACAAAAATGCTGGCCAGTCGTTCGTGAGTCTGTCTCGAGTCAATTTGGTATGCGAAATTTGCTGATTCAAATCTCGCAGCAAAGATCGAGTTTGGCCTGAGTTGGACATATAATGAAACTATCGTCCAAACGACAGTACAGCAAAGGTTTTCTTTCAATTACTGACGCTTCCACTTCCGACATAAATACGATAGCTAGCTTTGGGGCTAAACCATGCCCCAAGGCAAGGCCTCTGATTTCATAAGAGTGCGCGGCAACCGAAATATTAAGCATTGAAGTCATTCATTTAGAAGGGTCATAATCCCTCTGATCGAAACACCGTGCAAATTAAGTGAAAATTGGTGTTTTTGCATAGCTCAAAAGTAGCTTCCATAGCATTGCGGTTTGATACATTGGTATAGAGTGCATTCACGTCGAAAGACTCTATAATGCTGCCTTAATCTATACGAAAAACAAACCGTCCGTTCCCGGCTGCTTGTGGAAGGAGTTATTCCGAATCTCATCGAAACGAAGCAAATTCATCAATTATGCGTTCAGCCAGAAGAAAGCCATGATGTACTGAAGATCGAACGAAATCTATTACGGATTGCGCCACGAACAAGACAAGATCACATGTAC